GCGTGGCTAAGGGCAACACGGGTAAACTGGTACGACTCGATTGGCTGCCGGGTGTGTTGCTAGGGGGAGGGGCCACTTGAGTAAAGACGAGGGAAGGACTGGACATTTCCGATAGTTCATTACTTGACAGTGCACCACAGTACCTCTGGTCTGATGGTAACTGTAGCATTGAAGAACTACACTCACCTAAAAATATAAATAAAAATAAATAGATGTACATGTATAAATAAAACTGTAAATGGATAAATATAAGTTACATGTACATGTACATGCTAATTTTAATTTTGCACTTGTATATGTATCTTTTACACTACCTCTTAGTGTAGAAGTATTTTTACACGAGATACTGTCATAGTTTTCATTCTTAGAGACAAGGCAAGGATCAACACAGAGGGACAGTGAGAGAGTAGCAATTTCACTAGGATCCTTCGAACTCCATCTAATAAGGAAGTGAGAGAGAGAGAGAGAAGCATTTAATAAAACTAATCATGAACTAAAGGGAACGTAAAAACCCATTTGCTCCATTGTCACAAAATCCGTGACAAGCAAAAACCTAGGAACTCTGGCCCAATTTTGGAACGGCTTTTAAAATTCATAAAAAATCCAATTTTGATCAGACTCTGCTCAAACTTTCTACACAACATAAGTACATGTATATGTATTAGAAAAAAACATAAAAATTGAGAATTCTCTTTTTTTCCTTTTTGACACTATTTTTCCAAAGTCACTGTACTATAGTACAGGAATTTTGACCCAATTCTGGAGCAACTTATAAAAACTCACTGACAAGATGCTACAGCACTATAATACTAAATCCACCCACTAAATAAAATTGAGCTGATAATGAACTGATATTTGATACAAAAGTACAGCCCAACATTGTAACAGTATACACACTGATCATCATGATTAATAGACTAAATAAATATTATTATAATATATCATAATATCATGCACTGGAAGGTTATCAAAATATATCCTTTCTAGTTGAAAAGGTCAAGAAGGAAGAGAAGGAGAGAGAAAGAGGGTCTAGGTCAGTTATGATAGTCTGAGTATCGAATAAAGCCACAGAATGTCCAGCTGGTCCTGTGTGCCCACATAAAAACCATCTTTGGCAATGGCTATCAATACAGTCTATCAATATTAGCCATCACTCAATAAGGTCAGTCATGTACAAATGCAGTAAAATGATTAATAATTCTTTTTTTAGATTAAAAGCTGTACATATACATGTACATGTAGATGCATTGAGTGAAAATTTTGTCAAAAGACCTTTACAAAACCATACTTGTACTTGTACATGTGTAATTGTGTTAATGTACATGTACAAGTCATTACTTTGTTCTTTGAGTTTCCTGTGAAGGTAGTTCAACAATAAGGTTGGGATGGAGCTGGACATATTGAAATAATGGCTATTAAAGAAAAAGGGAGAGAGAGAGAGAAGGTATTTATGGAGAGTTGTTTATGGAGACATGTCTTTCACACATTAACACACTAATGTACAAACCAGTGAAGGCATTGGCCCATTGATAATAACCACAATTAGCAGGTCATACATCAGGAGATGTACTGCACATGCACTGCATGTGTCCAGTGTTAACTTGCTGATATGTGAAAGGTTTCTCTCACTCTCTCTCTCTTTCTTTTAAAATGACTCTCTTAATTCTCTTGCTCATGTAAAATTATCGTGTAAAGTTGCATGTAAATTCTTGCACGTGTATATAAAATTCTTACTGCAATGTATTCTTGATAAATGTGTACTTCACCAGTTGGGCCAAACCTTCCTTTAAGATACTGTACAAATGAACAAGGGTAGAGAGAGTAGAGTTGAAGGAAAAGGAAATAGACTGCAACTCGAACAGACAGTAAGACTTCTTCTGATACTTTATCTGAGAGAAAGAAAGAGTGAGAGAGAGGGAGAAAATGAAGAGAGAGGGGGAGAAAGAAATAAATGTATAAATGTACATGTAGATGTACAGCATAATAAAAAGGCAAAGAAAAGACTGAAAATAGACTAATATAATGTAGAGGAAAGTGTTCTTACTTTCTCCTCCACAGTTCAAAGTTGCCAGTAGCGTGAAACTCTCAAATATATCGGGTAGATGCGGTGTCACGTGATAAGGATTCAATGGAATTAACGCACACAACAGATACACAGAACTAGTGATGATACTGATAGAATGAATGGGCTATGAAAGAGAAAGAAAGGGAGAGTGGGTGAGGGTAAGAAAAAACAATGAGACTATTGCTATAGGAACAGACTATAGCCCATAGTAACAGTCTAATGGCCCCAGAAAGAAAAAGTAAATAAAAAATGTTAAATAAAACATGTAAGGTAAGAAGAGCAAAGCAAGTTAAAGATGGGAAAAAGCAGCAGTCATAATGGTTGGCTTACCCTAAGTAATTTTAGAAGAGTGGGAAAAGCAGCAGAATGGACTATCTTGTATAGCCAGCTGGTCTGGAAAAAGGAGGGGGGAGGAGGGAGAGAGGGGGGAAGAGAAAAGGCCAAAAGGGGGAAATACGAGAAGATGAGGTTTTGATAAAAATCTTGTCATTATAAAAACAATACTTTACTATTAAAACAAAATGACGTCATCGACCAAACAGCTGAAACAATAATAATCTGAAAGGCTAGCTCCAGCCTTTTTCAGATGGAATTTGATGAATATACATTAGTCAAGAACAAACACACAGTGATATTTTTAATGTATGTACATATGTAGTTACTGGATATTGAAGTTAAAAATTCTAATCATTTTGCTACATATTCTGTTGAAAGACAAAGTGACTTAAGTGAATATCTGTGTATGCTTTTGTGTAATTTTCTTGTACAATGAACTACTAGCATCAAAATACACTGTACTACTAGTAAGATACACTGTACTGCTAGTATTAAAGTACATTACACTGCTAGTATTAAAGTACATTACACTGCTAGTATTAAAGTACATTTTACTGCTATAGAAAAACTAACTTGTCCGATCAGCATGTGAGAGAGTAGTCTTAAAGACTGGAGACATGTTGACTGGCGATGCAAGCAATCGTTGATCTTTGCAAAGAAATCCTGAGACACAAAGAGAAAGATAGAAAGAGGAATAAAGGAGAGGTGCAATTGATATTCTATTGCCACCATTACAGTACTTTTCCCATTAAATGTATGGAGCAATCGGCCCACTTAAAGCCACATAAAGTGCAGAATCATTAGAGTATCTGATGCATGAATTTACATGTGAATAAAGGTCCTTGGTGCCTAGTAGTATCCTAAGAGCTGGTTTAGACTGGGTCGATAATTGATAGTCTATCAGTTCAGAGAGGAGCTCAGGCTCTCGAGAAACGTTGAGCTTTCTCTTCCAGGACTGGACCAGACGCTGAGAAAGAGACGCGTCTGATGTCTCTAGCTTTGAGAGCTCTTCTGTTATGCTCATGGCTGGTTTGGAAGCCTAAAAAGTTAAGGAAATAGAGGGAAGATCTGATTTATGAAGAGTAAAAGGATTGTTAGTGATAAAGGGAGATTATGAGGGTGGGAGCAAGAGGATATGAGAGAGAAAAGAAGAGAAAGAGACGAGAAAGAGAGAGAAAGATCCACTGACCTTTTGCCTTTTTGGTAATAAACGGAGCTGGCCTAAATCCGTACACACATCGTAGTTTTAGCCATTGCTCAATATCCGGTGAATTTCCTAATCTCCGGATAGAACAACCACGTGCGTGGGCATGACTTACTATCCGGAAAATTCCAAATCTCCGGATAGAGCAACCACGTGCGTTGCTTTTGTAAATTGTAACAGATCGACTCATCAAAATTTTAGCTGTACCTGACAAAATGGCGTCCAATCCAGAGGATTTTTATGAATGCGTGGCTTCTTGTAAGATAGGAGGTGTCCCTGTACTTAAGTATGTGTCCAAGAGAACCAAAATGATAATATCAATAGCTCAAGTAGAAGGACCACTCGTGAATGGATACTTCTGCTTAGGTATTTTAAAATGTTAAAATAAATTGATAATAATAAAATTAATTAATTTAATGAATAATTTTAATAATTTTCTTCTTTGCCTGCAGCTACAGAAGCTCATGATCATGATGGCTTACCTCATACGTTGGAGCACCTGGTTTTTATGGGGAGCGAGAAATATCCATATAAGGTAGCGTTGTACATGTACATGCGCACATGTACATGTACATGTATGTATTGTGTACATGTACATGTAATTACATCATTTTATTATTAAAAATAAAAACAAAGAGCACTTAGATGTAGGATAAACAAAAATAAGTAGTAAAGAAAATAAAATTTATTATTATTATTATTATTATTATTATTATTATTATTATTATTATTATTATTATTATTATTATTATCATTATTATTATTATTATCATTATTATTAATTAGGGTGTATTGGATCTCTTAGCAAACCGTTGTTTAGCCCAGGGTACTAACGCCTGGACTGATGTTGATCACACCTGCTACACCATAACGACAGCTGGTACTGAAGGATTCCTCAACCTACTTCCGATATACCTGGACCATATACTCTACCCAACACTAACTGTATGATATAATGAATCATATACTAATCATATAATCACCACCAGCTGCTAAATTTAAAGGGAGTTTTGGAGACTTTTGGTTTCTTATATTTCTCTTGAAATTTCTCGTCTTTGAGCCTACTAGCCTAGGTGCTTAAGGCTCCCATTTTTAGCTATATTGGTCTTTAAAAATGAGCATTTTAGCTTTTAGACCAAGAATTAATCGTTAGAGTTTTTAAAAAGATTAAATAATGCATAAATTTATTTTACTAGACGAATGTACATTATAAATATAGATTTGCTAGTGTTGTCATTATTAATATTTTGTTGCTAGGATCCAGCTTACACTACAGAGGTGCATCACATTAACGGGGAGGGTGAGAATGCAGGTGTGGTCTATTGTGAAATGCAAGCGAGGGAGAATACAAGTGAAGATCGGACACACTTTGAAATGTTACAATTGATGTATTCTGAAGGCTGTGGATACAGGGTAAGAGAGAGAGAAAGAGATGCATACTTGTAGAAATACAATTAAAATTAGGTGAATTCGGTGATTTTAGAGCCATTTGCCAGACTCATTTTAAACAATTAACTAAACAAGAATTTATGTCAAAAATTTCAGCAAAATTTGTTCCTCCAAAATTACCTACTAATGCTACTTTCTCTCTCTTTCTCTAGTCTGAAACTGGTGGGCGTATGTCCAATCTTCGTGACAGCACGAGCAATGAGAAGGTCACCTCCTATCATTCCTCCTACTATCGTCCCGACAACCTTAACCTCATCATCACCGGACAAATTGAGCCTCGTCAGATATTTAAATCTCTTAGCGAATTTGAAGAGAAAATATTGAGCAAAGTAAGGACATGGAATCATGTACATGTACATGTACATTGTATCAAGATTGCATTATACATGTACATGTACATGTACGTGTACATACGTTTGTATTGATAAGCTTTCACGACTTTAATTTAATACATATAGCTTAAACTTTATAACCATTGTCCGTCACAGTGTGCTATAGGAGTGCTTTTTAATTAGAATAAGTGGTGCTCTTTAATTAGAATTACATGTGCTTTTTAATTAGGGTGAGCTCCCTCAGTTCACTCGTCCATGGCAGAGTCCCGTGGCTCCATTAAACGGGTCCCACAGTAAAGTGGTTCAGTTTCCAACTAGCGAAGAGGACGATGGTCTTGTTAGAATATGTTGGAGGGGACCAAAGGCTTCGCAGAGATACTTAATGACGGCAATGGAGGTAAGGGAGAGAATACTTTAATATTATTAAAGTTTTTTTCATGATATTTTTAATGAAATATATACCAATGCACATGCTTATTGAGTAGCTGGTAGTTGTAGTGAATTTTAGTATAGCTATTAATTTGTAACTGCATGTACATGTATACACAGTTACAAATTTGCCAAATTAAATTCCACCTAATACTGTGTAGCTTTAGCTTGCCAATAAATGATCCCGTATGGTATGTATAGAATTAAAATTAATCTGACAATTTTAAAATATAAATCCTCTGCCCTAATCCTCTTCAGGTCATAATGGAGTATTTAACTGATACACCAGTGGCTCCGTTACAAAGGGAACTGGTTGAGATTGAGGATCCTTACTGCTCTGACGTGGACTGTATGGAGCTAGAGAACAGTGTCAGTGTCTTTGGGATCGCAATGGAGGGAGTCCCTTATGATAAACTGAATACCGTTGAAGAGAAGTAGGAGAGAGAGTTTATACTATATACATGTACAGTACATGTACATTGTATAGTTAATACACTGTAGTTAGCTTTTTTGGAAAATACCCAAGGCTATAGCTCATGGTTTTTTTCAAAAAATGGCTCCGAAATCACCACCAATTTTTATTACATTATCTGTTACATATTTATGTCCTTATGCTGTGTAGAAAGTTTGAGCTGACTCCGACTTCAATTTTTTGAGTTATGGCCATTTAAAAAAATGAGCCAAAATTTGAAAAGTACCCAAGGCTATAGCCCATGGTTTTTTCCAAAAATTGGCTCCAAAATCACCTCCAATTTTTATTACATTTTCTGATACATATTGATGTACTTATGCTGTGTAGAAAGTTTGAGCTAATTCTGACTTCAATTTTTTGAGTTACGGCCATTTAAAAAAAATGAGCAAAAATCTGAAAAGTACCCAAGGCTATAGCCCATGGTTTTTTCCAAAAAATGGCTCCGAAATCACCCCCAATTTTTATTACATTTTCTGATACATATTGATGTACTTATGCTACGTAGAAAGTTTGAGCTGATTCCGACTTCAATTTTTTGAGTTATGGCCATTTTAAAAAATGAGCAAAAATCTGAAAAATACCCAAGGCTATAGCCCATGGTTTTTTCCAAAAAATGGCTCCGAAATCACCCCCAATTTTTATTACATTTTCTGTTACATATTGATGTACTTATGCTGTGTAGAAAGTTTGAGCTAATTCCAACTTAAATTTTATGAGTTACGGCAATTTTTAAAAAATGAGCCAAAATCTGAAAAATACCCAAGGCTATAGCCCATGGTTTTTTCCAAAAAATGGCTCCAAAATAACCCCCAATTTTTAATTATATTTTTCTCTTTCTTTCTCAGAGTCGTCAGTGTTCTCCAGTCATTATCTGATGGTTCTGAGTCCGTTGATATGAGCCGTATGGCCAGCATATTGAAGCAAAGGATTCTCAAAATACTTAATCAGGTAATTAATGCTGACCACGCCCCTTTAATTGATTCATATTGACCACGCCCTTTTCTTTATTACAGGTTGAGGAGTGTCCACATTATTTCTTTGCTTTTTCTCTAATTGGAGACTTTTTATTCCGACCTGACGATGTTAGTCTATTGTATTCAATTTTACATGTACATGTACATTTTATTAAAACCAAAATATCATATACATTTCGTTAAATTCATTCATGATTATAAATTAAATGCATTTTGAATCAAAGTTTTTACATGTACTCTAAATACTGTGTTTTCTCTTCTCTCTCTTATACATGTACATTGTAGTTTGGTGATTACCTGGATCAGGTTCCACGTTATGAAAAACTCTTGAATGAAACAGAGTCATTCTGGGTTGAACTGATCACCGAGTATTTTGTAACACCACACAGGATAACGGTAAAAACCCTCCCTCCCTCCCTCTCTCCCCCTCTTTCTTTCCCCCCCTCTCTCTCCCCCTTTCTCTCTCTCCCTTCCTCTCCTTCCCCCCCTCTCTCTCCCCTCTCTCTCTGTCTCTTTGTCTTCCTGCAGTTGCTTGTGATGAATTAGTCTCTCATTATTAACTTATCTCCATATTGTCACTTATATCTAATGCAATATTGATCCTATCGCTAGCCGAAAATCCAATTGTATTCCAAATTAACTTGTCTGCTACAATTAATTATCATTAATGAATTTATCTTTAGTCCAAACATCACGTAACTTGAAGTGCGTATATACGTGCAATAAAGATAAAGACTGAGCCTCTTTATAAAGGACACTTATTGATTCCCCCACTGTATTGTGTAATGGAAGAACCCTTGCAGCCTTTATCAGAATTATAAAGATGGGTAATAGAAGCCTTTATGGGCCTATTTGGGAATGTACATGTACCTGTGTGTGTGTAGGATACTGTAACCTAATTCAGTAAATTTTGTAACTAATGATGCTTAACCTGACTTGACATAATTCATCTTATCTTATTTATGTATAATAATAATAATAATAAAATAGTACTGTTGATATTATTATTATTAATAACATTATTGTTGTTGTTGTTGTTGTTAGATTCTAGGCACTCCAAGTGCTGAATTATCGGAGAAGATGGAGACAGAGGAGAAGGAGAGGATACAGAAGCAAAGAGAAGAGTTGAAAGAGGAGGGACTGAAGGAGAAAAAGGAAATACTTGAAGACTCCATTAAGCAGAATGAGGTGAGAGAGAGAGAGAGAAGAATAAAAAATACAGAAAGAAAAAAGTACATGTACATCTTGATCCCTCTCGTACACAAGCAATTCAGTTTTTTAATATTAGTATAAATTTTTCTACTTCACTATTTAATTTGTAGCAACCATTATAACTTCCGTTGTAAACTTTAAAATTTTGTTGCATCACAAAATTCCCAACTATACCTATTTATACATGTACATGTACTTTAGGCCCCTCCCCCTGATGACGTGGTTAGTTCCTTGCCTGTTCCCTCCACGGATTCTATCTCATTCCATCCCATAAATGTCCTTGCTAATCACAATGTGGGCGGGGCTTCTGAGACACCAGAAGGCGGAGTCTCCGAAATGTTGAATAGATTTCCGGTCGGAAAATTGCCATTTTTCTTACAAGTTAATCACATCAAAACGAAATTTGTGGAGGTTAGTTTTAATAATAATAATGATAGTTTTAATATTTGACCACACCCATTTTTAGTTTTCTGCTGTTCTGGATACTAGTGGTTTGCCAAAAAGATTACGATTTTATTTATCACTTTATTCTGAGCTTCTATTTGAATCACCAGTTCTAAGAAATGGAGGTACATTATGGACATGTTTTAAATGTGCTTTTTTGAAAATTTACTACTTTTAAAATGGCCATAACTCAAAAAATTGAAGTCAGAATCAGCTCAAACTTTCTATGTAGCATAAGTACATCAATATGTATCAGAAAATGTAATAAAAATTGGGGGGTGATTTCGGAGCCATTTTTTGGGAAAAAACCATGGACTATAGCCTTGGGTATTTTTTAGATTTTGGCCAATTTCTTAAAATGGCTGTAACTTGAAAAATTGAAGTTGAAATCAACTCAAACTTTCTACACAGCATAAGTACATCAATATGTACATGTACATAATAAAAATTACTATCCTTCTCTTCCTTCCCCTGCTAGAGCTGATTCCTTATGAAACTGTTGTGAAGGAGCTTCAAGCTAACACAATATCTCACTCCTCATCTCTTGGCATTAGAGGAGGGGGCAGATTCATGCCAGGACAGTATCCTGATGCTCTTTTAATATCAATAAAGGTAGAGCATACATTATACATGTAGATTTATATTCCTACTCTTTTTTTACCATTTCTAATACCAAAAATAGTAACAATATATATACATGTACAATTTAAATAAATAATTATTATATCCACTCTTGATATAATGCATGTAAGTGTACATGTGAGTGTCTGTGTACAGTATAAACTATACAGAAGTGAGTCATTAAACTCTCCCCACCTGAGAGAGCTTGTACAGGTACATATACAACTGTAATTGTATTATGTATACATGTATACATGTACCTGTACGCTGCAATTGTATTGTAATTGTATTGTACATGTACGTTCTTTGATTAGTTGATTCCTCTACATACACAAGAACTGTTTTGTGTTGTAGTATATTTACTAGTACACTACACGTATTTCCTCTGTTTCTTGTTAAATGTTGGAATTCTGTCGTACAAATGTAGGGTACTTTCTGGCCAAGAATTCAGAGTATTTGGCCAGGAAGCTGAATAGTTATAGATGCATTAAACAAGACTACACACGAAACTTGCCCCAAAATTATAAATAAATATCAACAATCATACGATCGTCATTATTATTGTATGGACATTGCAATTTGGCAAGATTGCTGATACACTTAAAATTGAAGAAATTTGGAATCATCATCATCATTATTATTATTATTATTATTATTATTATTATTATTATACTTTTAGTACATGTACATATACAATGTACACATAGTTTAATTATTTTCGCTATTATACGTGTACATGTACATGTACATGTACATCATTAATTTCTTTTCAGCTACTAATAGTCAGTGCAAGGTACAGCGTGGATTACTATTATCAAGTCAATGGAAGTCTCCCTTCCTTTTCCTAAGAATCACACACACTGAATGTTTATAGAAACCAATTCCTGAGAATTGATTAAACACATGTACATCTACATGTACATGTATATGTAAAAGCATATGTACATATGTACATGTACATGTAAACTATTTGTGTGTTGTCTATATCTTTGTAGTATGTTTTTATAAATATTTTCATTTTATGCTTACAGTGAGTGACTGATGTTATATTGTATTGAGTGATTATTTTGGCAGTTGTTTTTCTAAGTTCATTCTTCCTGAGAGTTAATCTTTCCTTTAAGGATGTTTGCACTTCACTGGAATCCATTAAATATTAACAGGACACTTTATGTACTTGTACAGTTTACTCTCTCTCTCCCTCTCTCTCCCTCTCTCTCTCTCCCTCTCTCTCTCTCTTTCTCTCTCT